GGGAGTGTGCAGGAGGCAGCTGATCGATGTTTCTCTCTCATCGATGTTTCTAACTCTCTATCCCTCTCCTTTCCCTCTCCCTTCTTCTCTGTAAAAAAATCAATAAAATATATTTAAAAAAAAAAAAAAAGAAGCTAAGTTGAGCCCTGGCCAGGTGGTTCAGTTGATTGAAGTGTCATCCCATACACCAAAAGTTTAGGGGTTTGATTCCTAATCAGGTCACATACCTAGGTTTTTGGGTTCTATCCCCAGTCAGAGCATGTATGGGAGGCAACCTACCCATGTTTCCCTCTCACATAAATCTCTCTCTTTTTCCCTTTCTTAGAAACCCTTCAAAATATAGACTTCAGACATTGGGCCATGAGTTGGCAAACTACATACCACAGGCAAAATCTGGCTTGCTATCTATTTTTGTTAGGCCCGGGTCACAGATCAACATTTGCAATAAAATTCCTACTACTTGATCCTTTAAAGTACAATTTGTGACGATAGAAAACACTAATTTTTTTAAACACTAATTTTTTTAAGTAAAATGTTATCTCCCATCCAAAAAGAATTCTATTCTTTCCATGAGTTTTTATTTTTTATGCAGAGTTTAATGAGCATCATTATGACTATTACTTTGAACTCTTTATCTAATAGACAGCTTACCTTTGTTTCACTTAGTTCTTTTTCTGGGGTTTTGTCTTGTGTTTTTGTTTGGAATGTATTCTTTTATCTACTCCTTTTGCCTGTTTGTTTCTCTGTATTAGGTAGGTCAGCTATGTCTCCTGGTCTTTAAAAAAATGGCCTATTTAGAAGGTGTCCTGTGGGGCTCAGTGGTGGAATCCTGTCTTGTCAGAAAGACACATGCTACACAGGTGTTCTCGGGATGGACTAGTGTGGCCTCTTGTTGTGGTTGGGCCAGGACTGCTATGGACACACTGGCAGGAGAGGCTAGTCCCTTTCTGGGCTGGCTGTGAGGCCTGGCTGCAACTGTTGTAGACACACTGCTGCATGCTGGTGCTGACTAAGGCTACCCACCGGGTGTGACAGGGCAGGAGCCACTTTGGAGGGGTGCCAGCTGGGTGGGTCCTCAGGGAAATGCCAGGGCGGGTGAACAGTGCTAGCAAGGTTAATGGAGAATGTCAGAAATGGCCCTTGCCAGCATCAGACCAGCAAGGAGGAAGGAGAGGGAAGAAAAGTGAGAGAGAGAATGACACCCACCAACACTCTGACTCAGAAGAAAGTTCTAACAGAACCCTGTCCCTCCAGCACACACCCTAAAATTAGTCAATGTATTACTTTGATGTATGACCCAGGTGCTTTTCAAACTGCAGCCTCTGTGCTCGGACTCACAAAGAGCTCAAACTTGGTTTTCTATAGCCCTTTGGCTCTCCCAGATGTAAGCCCTGCTGATTTTCAAAACAAGATGTTATGGGGCTCATTTTCTGGTACAGGTCACCCAGTCTGGGGCTCAGAATCCCTCACTTTTGGGAGTGGGGAACCTCAGTTTATAACATTCCCACCTGTGGGTCACCACAGGAGAAGTGGCAGGTAGGGTAGGTCCTGGCTAGACTTATCTTTGCCCCTCCTACCTGTCTCAATGTGGCTTTTTCTTTTCTTTTTTTTTTATAAATCTTTATTGTTGAAAGTATTACATATACTTTTTCCCCCATTGACCCTCTTCAGCCTCCCCCTGCTCCCCGCCCCAGGCCTTTACCACCCTATTTTATGTGTCCACAGGTTATGCATATATGCATACAAGGTCTTTGGTTGATTACCTCCCACCTACCCAACCTCCCCCACCTCCCACCGAGATTCCACACTCTTCCATTTCTCTGGATCCACTCCGTTCATCAGTTTGTTACTTAGATTCCACATATGAGTGAGGTCATGTGATACTTGTCTTTTTCTAACTGACTTATTTCACTTAGCATGATACTCTCCAGATCCCTCCAGGCTGTCTCAAAGGTAAGAGATTCTTCTTTTTTTACAGCTGCATAGTATTCCACGGTATAAATGTACCACAGATCTTTTATTCACTCATTTCCTGATGGGCACTTGGGCTGTTTCCAGATCTTAGCTATTGTAAATTGTGCTGCTATGAACACAGGAGTGCATACATTTTTTCTGATTTGTGTATTGGGTTCCCTAGGATATATTCCTTGAAGTGGGTTCACTGGGTCAAATGGCAGTTCCATATTTAATTTTTTGAGGAAACGCCATAATGTGGCTTTTTCTTTATATCCATACTTGTAAAAAATTTGTTCTGCTAGTCTTCAGGTCATTCTCAGAGACAGTTGCTCTATATATAATTGTAGTTTTGGTGTCAATGAGAGCAAGTGAGCCCAGGACCTTCCTACTCTACCACCTTGAGCATGAAGCCAGAAGCCTTGCTCTTGAAATGCCATTTTAGCTTTTCCGTGGAAAATCGTTCCTTGCTTGCGGTTGATGCACTGCCCCAGCAACAAATGTGTCTCCGGATCATTGAATCACTGCCCCACTCATGAGTTTGTTTTTTTAAGTATTCAGTTAGTATTATATTTTGAATTTTGTCAATAATAAGTTTGTAGAAATTTGTTTTTCCTGTTCTTATAAAAACACCTAGATAATATCCTTAGTTTTCCCTCTTGGCCCACAAAGCCTAAAATATCTACTACCTGATCCTTTAAAGAAAAAGTTCGCTGGCCTCTGGTCTGCATTAGGCAGTAAAGTAGCCACGTTCAGCGATGTGCTTTGGGACATCTGGTTGCATTTGGATAATCATTCCAAGGAAAATGGACCCCAATACAGTAATCCAGAAGAGAGACAATGAGGACTGTATTAGTCAAAACTTATCTGGCTGCAAGTGATCCAAATCTAATGTAAACACATAAGCAAAAGTGAACATAGGACACACTGTTAGTTGCCTATCCAATATCCATTTCTCTAACTTCTATTCTAACAGACTTCCAATTTGCTATGGAGCACCAACGTATGTAGTAGCTAAAAATTCTAACCTTTCCAGAGTGCAAATGGGGGTCATCTGTACTTAGGGGTGGTCATATGGCTCAGTTCTGGCAAATGAGAAAATTAAAGGAAGTTTCAGAGTTAGGCTTCCAGAGGTATGTGGTTGGTGTGCTTACTCCTTCAGTCCTTTGTCCTTTCCTTCTTTGTCCTTTGTCCTTTCCTTCTCTTCTTGATAAGAAAGCAGACTTTGCTTGGGAGGTACAGCCACTATCCTGCCTCATATTAAGGATGGTGGAACAGGAAGACAGAGGAGCCTGGTCTTTTATGACATTCTGTAACCTGAAACAGTTTCTCTTACCCTGGAATGCCTATCTCCAGGTATCTTTTTATGGTAGGAAAATAAATTTCTATATGGTTAAGCCATGTTAATAATTAGTTGCAAATGAACACATCCCTAGCTGATAAAGAGAATGTATTAGAAGGATCCTAAGAACTCACAGATTATACAAACTGAACTGGAGCTCAACAAACTGTTCTTGAAAGATGCCGAGTACTGTAGAGCTTACCTCTTTATTTCATTGCTTAATAAATAGGAAGGACTGATTTACTATATCATGATATCCTCTTACAATGCAATATTATATAACCACTATAATGATATAATGATATAAATTAAAAAGTATATACTAGCCGGTTTGGCTTAGTGGATAGAGTATTGTCCTGGGTTCGATTCTGGTCAGGGGCACATGCCTAGGTTGCGGGCTCGATCCCCAGTAGGGGGATGCAGAAGGCAGCCGATCAATGATTCTCTCTCATCATTGATGTTTCTATCTCTCTCTCTCCCTCTCCCTTCCTCTCTAAAGTCAATAAAAATGTATTTTTTAAAAAAGTATATAGCAGCATGAAAAATGCTTCTAACATAACCTTAGTTATATTAGCAATGCTCCATGTATAAATTCAAATCAACAAAAGTGTACGAAGTAGAAAATTAAAGATTACCCCAGGGTAACTATTGTTAAAAGTTTTGTATGTTGCCGAAACCGGTTTGGCTCAGTGGATAGAGCGTTGGCCTGCGGACTGAAAGGTCCCGGGTTCGATTCCGGTCAAGGGCATGTACCTGGGTTGTGGGCACTTCCCCAGTGGGGGATGTGCAGGAGGCAGCTGATCGATGTTTCTCTCTCATCGATGTTTCTAACTCTCTATCTCTCTCTCTTCCTCTCTGTAAAAAATCAATAAAATATATTTAAAAAAAAAAAAAGTTTTGTATGTTTACAAACATTTTTCTATGCACAGAAAATTGTATATTCTAATTTTACTTATCAGTGTATGTTGATCATTTTACATATCATTAAATAGTCCTCTAAGACATATTTAATGGCAGTTTAATAATCGACTTTCAAAAAATATACAATTATTTATTCAACCATCTCCTTGTCTGTAAAGCTATGGTAGCTTTTGGATGCAAGTAATTGAAACCCACTCAAATAAGCTAAAGGTGAAAAGATGAGCTGTTATAAGGATACTGGACTGTTCCACAAAATGAAGATAAAGGAATGCCAAAAGTGACTAGAATGTATAATGGAATGCTCTGCTAATACTTTTCTCTCTCTCTTTTGCCTCTGCTTCTCCCCACATCTCTGCCTCATTCTCCTCTTTCTGCCAACTGGAATTATTTGCCCTTCAGTCCACCTGGAGGATAACAGTCTGACACAGTTCCTGAATTTTTACACTCCTTCCATTCAAGATAGCTTGAACTAAACTGGAATTCCAAAGTAAGAAAGACATATAATTCACCTAGTTAGGACAGGTTGATCTACTCTGGTCCAATCAACAGTGGCCAATGGATGAAGGTCCCACTTGAGGCTAGAGTCAGGAAGGTGATGATATGAATAGGTCCTTCGGTTCTCAGAGAAGGGTGAATCACTGTAAGCTAAGAAGATACCCCCAAAGATGTCTACTAATGCCTTCATGTGTCAATTTACCTTCTTAGAATGGACAGATAAGTTAAATCATCACATCAAATGATATGGGCATTGTAAGGCCAATTTGCTTTCCAAAGAAAGCATCAGGTCTCCGCGCCGCCGCCATGGCCGATGTGGAAGACGCCGAGGAGCCCTGCGCCCTGTCCTCTCACTCCGGGGGCGCGGGCTCCAAGTCGGGAGGCGACAAGATGTTCTCTCTCAAGAAGTGGAACACAGTGGCCATGTGGAGCTGGGACGTGGAGCGCGATACGTGCGCCATCTGCAGGGTCCAGGTGATGGATGCCTGTCTTAGATGTCAAGCTGAAAACAAACAAGAGGATTGTGTTGTGGTCTGGGGAGAATGTAATCATTCCTTCCATAACTGTTGCATGTCCCTGTGGGTGAAACAGAACAATCGCTGCCCTCTCTGCCAGCAAGACTGGGTGGTCCAAAGAATCGGCAAATGAGAGTGGTGAAAGGGCTTCTTAGTGCATTTGTCCAGAGCCCCGGTGGATCGCCTTATCAAGTGCCCTACAACGACCAGGATACTCCGGAGGACTAAGTCTTCCAATAGGAGGAGATGGATCTTTGGTCCTTGAGGACTCATCCAAGGCATTGGGTTAGCATTTTGTCAGTTTCATTTTCAGAAATTCTCTACAATTAAGAAGATAATTTATTAAAGATGGTCTTTCCTATCTCTGTGGTATGTGTCACACTGCTTAGAAGTGCTATAAAGGAGGAGAGAACTACAAATTGAATGACCTTTATAATTTACCTATTGATATGTAAGGGGCTGTGGAAGCAGTTCCGTTGGAAGAGAACTTTTGCATGCTTTAAGGTTGATCAGTTAAAAAAAAAGACAATGTTATAATAACAAATAAAATACAGTTTAAAACCCAAAAAGAAAAAAGAAAAAAAGCATCAGCCTACACTTCCACCTGCAGTGTCTGGGAGTTCCTGTTTGCCTACACCCTGCTAACTCAAAAAAACTGGAGGCTCTGACATTTTCTTATTTTGAAAGGGAAAAAGTGGTATCTCAATGTTGTTTTAATTTTTTTTTTTAATCACTAGTGGGCTGAGCATTTTCTTAGGTATTGATGGACACAGCAGAGCTGCTTTGTGAGCCTCTCCATGGTAAGATTGTGAAGATTCTCCCCCACAGGGCTGAGGAGTGAGGCTTTCTGATGGGACAGATGAATGGATAGGATCTCTGAAGCTGTTATACAAATGTCTGCATTTCTTCCAGGCTGCCTATGCCTGCTGGCCAGCCACTACCATCCCCTGCCTGGATCCCCTCCCTCCCACCAGCAAAAACTCTAGATGTGAGGTCTCCCAGCTCTGTTGGAAAGTAATTATTTGCAAAGCAAGCTCAGAAGCCCCTATTAGCAGAGTCAACACTGTAGCAACCTGTACTACAGCACAGAAGCTGGATATGTGTGGTACCAGATCCAGCTATCTGGAGAATTTAGCTGTATTATCTTGTGGTTGGAGCATACAACTATGAAGACTGAAGTTTCATTCTCCTGCCCTTCATCTCTCTGCCATGTTTCACCCATCCCACCCACAGCCTCCAGTGCACATTTCTGTTATTGCATTTGGCATACTGTGTTATCAATATCTGTGCTAGTGTCTTTTTCCTCCATAAAGTATCAACTCCTTCAGGACAGGAGTTGAGGTCTGTCTTGTTCATCTCTGTGTCCTCAGTTCTGTGAAATTCCTTTACTAGACTTGCTCTGCCAGTATTTCATCAGAGCTCCCTGGTTGGGAAAGATAAAAACTAGAGACTATAAGTACAGTAGAGGCCCAAGAAGGACCATTTGTTATCCGAAAAGCTAAAGAACAAACATATTTTTTACTGAGGACTGAATGTATAAGACTTATGGTAAAGGGAAACTAGCATTTTCTAAGTAACTACTAAGTGCCAGGCATTTGTACTATTCAGTCCTCTCATTCACTTGGTTTCTTGCTTATAGCTGTCAGGCTCCCTGTACTATAAGAAAAACAGTAGTCAGCATCTCCAGGCTTACATTATCATAGATAAGAATCTGCAACCAAAAAAGAGAGGGATTCTCTCCCACAGTCTATAGATTAAGCCAAAAAATTATTCTGATTAGGTCTACTTTGGTCACATGTCCCCTGTGGGACAATCACTGAGCCAGGAGAGGAACAAGTTTTGTTAACCCAAACAACAGAAATGGAAAAGCTTGCTGGACAGCCAAGAGCCTTAGTTACCAGGGCTAAAAAAGTATTGGAGTAACTGTCTGCTTTGGTATCCTTTCCTCTAACACTATAAGGACTGTCTTCTTGTGCCTTGAGGGAATGCCTTTTTAGCAAAGCGTTGAATACTGGGCCTGGTCTGAAATAATATGGAGAACTGAACAGTCAGCACATCTGGGTGAAACTTCTCCCACTACTAGGTCTTCAGATAAGAAATTTCAGGTCCAGGCAGAATCCATATCAGTCCCCAAGCAACTGGGGTTGTTTTGAGACCAAACACAGTCATGCCCCATTTTTTTAAATCCTACTTAATTTCCAGTCTCCTTCACTAAATGATGATTGACTCTCAAACTCACTCTTCCTCTAGCCATTTTCTTCACTCACTTTTTAAGAGACTTGCTATGGAAATTTATTCATCCATCCCTCCCAAAATAACTTATTAAACACCTGCTATGTACCAGGACTATGTTGGGCATCTTAAAAAACTTAAAAATAGCCCTAGCCGGTTTTGCTCAGTGGATAGAGCACTTATCTGTGGACTGAAGAGTCCCAGGTTCAATTCCGGTCAAGGGCATGTACTTTGGTTGCAGGCTCCTTCCTGGACTGGGCTCTGGTCAGGCGTGTGCAGGAGGCAACCAATCAATGTTTCTCTCACATCGATGTTTCTTTCTGTTTTTCCCTCTCTTCCACTCTCTCTAAAAATCAATAGAAAAATATCCTCAGATGAGGATTAAAAAGAAAAAACTTAAAAATAGAAAACCTGCCCGGCCAGCATGGCTCAGTGGTTGAGTGCCAACCTGTGAACCAGGAGGTCATGGTTCGATTCCCGGTCAGGGCACATGCCCGGGTTGCCGGCTTGATCCCCAGTGTGAGGCATGCAGGAGGCAGCCGATCCATGATTCTCTCTCGTCACTGATGTTTCTGTCTCTCTCTCCCTCTCCTTTCCTTTCTGAAATCAATGAAAATACATATTATAAAAAAAAAAAAATAGAAGACCTACAGGGGGTTAAATCAACAGATGTCAGCCTGACCAGATGAATCTTTCCACTGAGTCCTTTCAGACTCTTCCTGAATCCCAGGTCTGCAGAGCACTAAACAAAACAGGTGTGTGGACGAAAGGGACCTCGTGCTAACCTGATAAGCTCAGGGAAGGCCTGCATGGCGGTCTTACAAACTCAGAGACCTAAAGTAACCACAAGGGATGGTCTGAAATTAAACTTTAACTAAAAGCAGTTTGGTGGGTAGTTACATCCTAGGCTGGTATCTTCACTGACAAGGTCAACCTTTACCTTAACTGAGCCTATCTGTCTTTTTGCATCTAAATTAACATACCCTTGAAATGTCTAGGTAACTTGTAACTCCCCTTTTTCTGGACCCCTTGTGGCACAACCTAATGAGCCAGACACCAGGACAGATACCACAAATTTCTTCATTATTATCATGTTAATTGTTCCTGCACCCACCTACGTAGGTGTCTATCATTTTACTTTATATCCAATCACAGGGGTTCCCCGCTCTCTTTGCTTTCTCCCGCCTCTCTAGTCTATCACCAATGGATTTCATGTAACCCACCTAGTCCCTTCCTTTGATTGCAATGTATAAACATAGATGTAACCTGCCATTCTCCAGAGCATTATCTCAATTCGTTGAGGTTCTGCTTCCGGCATATGTTGACAGTTTGGCTTAAATAAACTCACAAAAATTCTTTACAGATTTGAATGTTTTTATGTTAACAGATGTGACTACCAGGTGTGGTTTCCAACTGTCCTCTTTATGATAAAGTTACCAAAAAATACAGGACACTTTTTTCAATCAAATTAATAAATACATCTATCTAAACAATTGGGGACTTGAAAAAGATAAGACTGTTTTTTTTCTGGAAGTAGAGTATAATTGACTTCACACATATGTGCTCAACTTGTACCTTGGCCCAAAGCTGATGGTCTCACCTCACCAGCTATCCCCACAGTTGGTGATTTTCTTTAAAATTTAGTAACAGCAGCAATAGCTGGGTAGTTCTAATAGCAAGGTCAACTGCTCAAGGGTATTTCTGAGAACTATGGTTTCTTAGTAAAACCAAAAAAAAAATAGTCCCCCTGGCTTCTTCATCTCTACTCTGTTCTGTTGTCAGGGAAAGTGATACACTCAATTTCCCTAGGCTATATAGTAAACCACACTTCAGCCACCATACATTGATCTCAGGTGCTTTTAAATGGAGCATATAGTACTATCTAGTATCTTTCCAGAACTCAGTGTGAACTCTTAAGCATGACCTTGCTGTGTGTGTGACAGGAGTACAAACAGCACTAGTTGACCAGCCATGTCTTCTAGGGTGAAACCTTCAAACTGTCAAAACCTTATTTTGTCATGTGCTACAAGACAGAAATCTTCCCAAAAGCCTTAGGATGAAAGTGAGGCAAAAATAGGCAGAAATGCTATTTGCTTAGAAAATCCAGGCATTTCATCAGTGATAGTGAGAGGAAACTGATATAAACCTGCAGGCAAGACAAAGGAAGTAGCCAAAGTAGTCTCTTGCATACTCAGTGTCCATTGTATGCAGAGCTGGCAAAGAGGCTGGACCAAGAAAGAAAAAGCAGACATCTCTCCCCTGGTGGTTCAGTTGGTTGAGCATTGACCTATGACCCAGGAGGCCACAGTTCAATTCCCGGTCAGAGCACATGCCCGGGTTGTGGGCTCAATCCCCAGTGTGGGGCATGCAAGAGGCAGCCGATCAATAATTCTCTCTCATCATTGATGTTTCTATCTCTCTCTCCCTCTCCCTTCCTCTCTGAAATAAATAAAAATAAATTTAAAGAAAAAAACACAGACGCCTGATTGAGATCTCATCTTGTGTTAGTTTCTATTGTTTATAGATAAACTGGAATGATATGCTGTATTAATTAAATAGATAGAGGCAGCAAGTTTGGAAAGTCATAATCAATCTCTCCAATATGCAGAAGATGGAAACTCTGCAGACAAGCCAGCCTTGGGCAGGCCAGGAGGAGACAGATTACCCCAGAGGGACTGATGTATTCTTGGGAGAGTGGGTGCCTTAATTTGAATTCCCCTGGAAACAGACCCTGAAGCAAGGATTCAAGAGCAAGTAGTTTATTAAGCAGTACAGGAAACACCAGCAGGGAAGTGAGGAGTGAGAAAGAGAAGGGAAAGAAGTCAATAAAGAACAAGTTATCAAATCAGCTATTACTATAGGTGACTGGAACTTAATCCCATAGAGAAACTGTAGGAAATTATGTAGAATACAGGTCTCAGAGTTATTCCGTGTCAAGGGTGAGGAATAGATCCTGTCTGTCATTGGTTGAGAACTACTCCAAGGGATACTAATTCCCTCCATCACCATCTCTGTCACTGCACACCCAGCCTGCCACATACCTGAACCGAGTGGCCTTCAAGCAAAGAGATGCAGATGCAAGCAGATGGAAATTTGTTCCTCAGTACTTAAGTGATAAGGCCCAAAGGGTAAAGGCAGAGTAGCAGCATCAAAAGGGCTGGAGCATGGTGTGCATCAAATCTTTGTGAGCCCTGACTGGTTTGGCTCAGTGGATAGAGCGTCGGTTTGCGTACTGAAGGGTCCCAGGTTCGATTCCGGTTAAGGGCATGTACCTTGGTTGCGGGCACATCTCCGGTGGGGGG